GCGGAGGGCGGCAGGAGCGCGCCGGGATCGGCGGCATTCCCAGCAACCCGCCGCCTTTCTCCGAGCACCACTGCAAAGGGGAGAGGGAGCTGCGGTGCTGGGGACGGGGGAAAGCTGTACCCCACTAGGCTTCATTCCTGAGGAAAATAGGGAACAACGTGGAAAAGAGGCGCTTAAAATACAACAGCAAGGAGCAGGAGGAGGAGCCAGGGCAGGAGCAGCAGATCCCTCCGGAGCTGCATCCACAGTGTCCTCGGCTCTGCTCATCCCAAAGTTCCTCCCGCACAGCCCCTTGGGAGAGGCTGAGAACTGGGAAGGTGCTTACTGGGAAGGCTGTTACTTGGGAATGGTGTTTCTTGGAGCAACCACCTGAACGAGAAACCTCAGTGAATCTGAATGCAGCCTCCAGCTCCCGCTCTGCATGGGCTGAGGCAGGATCAATGGAAGCAACTCCTGATCAGCAGCAGCTCTGACATTTGCCTGCTTGTGGTGATTTATGGTGGGTCCAGCGCCTGCTCCAATCAGGATTAGTGCTGCTGGGAGCAGAGCAGGGGCCTGGCCCAGGGCAGGGACACTGAGCTGGGCAGAGCCAGCACCCACTTGGGATGGAGCCTCCGGTGCTCCATGATTGAATTCCATAGGCGGAGCTCAGCTGGAGCCTTCACCCAATTTTACACTTGGGCTGGTTGGGAGCAGAGGTCAAGTGGCTTCAGCCAAGCTGCACATGATGAGTGAGTGGGATCCATCCCTCCCTTCCTGCTGCACATCCATGGGGAAGCACATCCCGGTCCCTCTCTGCTGCTGCAGCCGTCTCACAGTGGGGGCTTTAAGGATGTTTAAGCAGTGCACAAGGAAGCACAAAGGCTCCGGGCGGGTTTTCCTTGCTGGGATCCTGTCCAGCCCCACAGGCCTGATGGCAGTGCCTTGTCCACAGGGAAGGTGAAGGCTGGGAACACAAGGAAGCCTCCCTGCTCAGCAGGACCACGAAGGGCAGCCCTGACAGGCAGAAGTTAAACCAGCCCGAGCTTTGCTGCTCCAATACCCTATTCCAGCTGAACAAACCTGCTCCCAGCCAGGTCTGCCTTTGGCAAGAAGCCATCCAGAGGCCACAGGCTCAACCCTCCTGATGTAGGCTTTAAAGATCCACTTCATCCTGCTCTGTGTCATGCAGGGGGGAAGCAGCCACAGAAAAGCCCATTAAAGAAGGTGAAGGTGGTGCTGGAGAGAAGGAAAGGGAATGTTTCCCTTCTCCCTGAGCAGCAGCTCCCGGCGTGTTTGCCGAGGGAGGCTACCCCAGGCTGGCGCTTGCCTCCCTGCTCCCGGAACTGTGTCCTGCTCAGAGCCGGGGCTCTCCCAGTGTGACGGGAGTGTTTCACAGCCAACAGTGAGGAGCTGCCCACAGGGACCCAGGCACCTCCTGCACCACGAAGAGGGTTTGGCCTGGGGAGCACCAGAACAGCCTTACCCCGAGCCCTGGGGCTGGGGGAGGCTCCTCAGGCTGGTGAAACGTCACCTCAAAACAGAACCAAGAGCTGGGCTGGGAATGGGGCAGGATGGGCTGTGGTGGTGCTGCCACCTCCAGCAGATCCCTGTCTCCCTGCACTGAGGATCTTGAAGAGAAGCGTTTGTTCCTCACAGCCACATGCGGAGCTCCAGCACAGGGTTAGCACCAGGCTGACAGCTCCTCACACCTCCTGCATCCACAATGACTCTGTCCAGACACGAGCCGCAGCTCAGCAGAGCCTCAAATCCCACCTCACAACGGCTCCAACCAGGCCTGGCATGGCTCAGCCTCTGTGCCAGCACCTCAGCACCCTCACAGGGAAGAGCTTCTGCCTCAGAGCTCATCTCCATCTCCCCTCTGGCAGGTTCAAGCCATTCCCCCTTGTCCTGTCCCTCCATTCCTTGTCCAAAGCCCCTCTCCAGGTTTCCTGGAGCCCCTTTAGGCACTGGAGCTGC